AAGCAGGTTGCCAAGATGGAAGATCCCCTAAGAAAGGCATTTATGTTTTTCTTATATGAAAAGCAGGATATGTGTGACTAGCTGCTGCTGCACAGCTTCTTAGACAATTGTGTAATATTGCCCAATTTATTGTGTTGGAACCCCCCCCCCCTCATTTTTTGTGTGTTTAGGAATGGATGTTGCCTGTTTCTTTCTCTCTTTTTTTGAGACTTACCTTTCTTCTTGAAAAAAATGTATTTTGAAGGCATGTGATCCTGTCCACCATTAAAACCATCTTTCCAAGAGGCCACCATGTTTCCATTGTCTTTCTCCCCACTTGGAACTGAACCCAGATGGACATTTCTTCCAACATAACCAAGGGAACTCTTCATGGCTTCCAAGATCAGGCAAGGTTCACTTAAATTCTGCCAAGTTGCACATTGTAAATAACTGCAAAATACATTTTTTTCAAGAAGAAAGGTAAGTCTCAAAAAAAAAGAAACAGGCAACATCCATTCCTAAACACAAAAAATGAGGGTGTGTGTGTTTCCAACACAATAAATTGGGCAATATTACACAATTGTCTAAGAAGCTGTGCAGCAGCATCTAGTCACACATATCCTGCTTTTCATATAAGAAAAACAAAAATGCCTTTCTTAGGGGATCTTCCATCTTGGCAACCTGCTTGTTTTCCTGTAAGAATTTTATTACATAGTTTTATATCATTCATTCAACTGGAACACAAACTGGTTTTACCCACCCGCTGTGGTTTAGCCAAATCTTTATGTAATGTCTTTGAAAAATCCAGGAGAGTGGAAGAAGGCAAAATTCTTTTATCCTCAAAAAGAAGAGATTTTTTAAAGGAAGTTACAGACCAATCATTCTGACACTGACACCTAGTCATGCTAGCCACATGATCACAGAGACATCTTTGGACAGCGCTGGCTCTTCAGCTTTGAAATGGAGATGAGCATCGCTCCTTAGAGTCAGGAACAACTAGCACATATGTGCAAGTGGAACCTTTATATAACCATCCAGGTAAATATTAAGAACTTCACAACACTAAAGACGCAATGCATCTTGAAGGAAGTATAATTATTGTAAGAAATGGTGGGACACTCAGAATAAAAATAAAAAAGAAGTGGAAGGAATTCTGATAGATTAGTATTGAAGGTCATGTCTCATTGTCACAACAACAGCCAAAAGAATTGTCTTCAGTCAGCCAATTCTTCAAATCTTTGCATCTCCTCTCTTCCAAGTCTGGGATGTCACATATTCACATTGGCCTAATTCTAATACCTATCATTTACAATACCGCTTAACAATTCTGAAAGTATGGTTTCCTAGCTTTGCAGCATTACCAATAATACCTACAGCAATTTTATAGTTTTACTACCAGTATTAACTTCCTCAAATATTTTGGGTCAAAGACTCAATTTTTTAAAAAACAAATGACTTCTCATTTCTTGAGAAAATGCCTTAAAGTGTCATTTGAACCTAGCACATGCTTGCAAAATAACAAGACCTTTCTGGAGCAAATTTCTTCCTAAACAAGCTGGAATCTGCCCAGAGCAGTCAGCCAAGCCTAAAAGGTGATCTCCCACTCCTGCTTCAGGAAAGAAAGAATGAATTTGCCTCATCCTTTGCCGTCTGTTGCAGATGTCCCTGAATTACATGCCTGAGGCTAATGCAAGCTATGACAGTAATAAGGGTCACTCTAAGAAACTAAGCACAAGGTTGCAACTGCCCAGCAACTGTCCTGCTGTTGAATTTCTAATTTGTCAATCTGAAAGAACAAAATGTTAGACTAGCAGTTTTCCAAGGCGAAAACATTCTGCCTGGTGTGGGTGGTTAAGCTGAGAACTTCTGTTCTTGCATGGGGAAATTTTCCCTCTCTTTATTTGGAGTCTGGATAGAGCAAAATAGAAGCAGGAGTGCATTGCTTTTTCAAAAGCTACCCCGATTTTCAGGCTTCCAAAAGATCCTGTAAATAAAGGTCACTTTAAAAAATTAAAAACACTGGACATTACTGCTTTAAGGAGCTCTCTTTAATGCAGCCACATGTTTTTTTAGACAATATAAAAACCTAAAGAGAAATAACATTTTTTAAAGTGGGGTTATTTGCACTTTTGCATATAGCCCCTTCTGTATCATTTTCAAAGCTCTACTGCACAGAATCATCTGCACAGCTCTACTGAACATTAGATTCTTTGGTCTTTCCAAAACCTAAAGCTTTTGCAAAATGAAATTGCTATAGGTTTCCATTTTTGCTCTGACAAACGGTAGTGTCCCTGTTTGATCTGAAGAACAACGAAACAGCATCATCTGCTCAATAGTAGCTGCCCTTTGATTATAAATTGTGGTTGCCTATGTTATGACATCAGCTTTAAAACTCCAGGTAAGTTTCAGCTGGGCAGGTCAACTCGTGTGTGTGTGTGTGTGTGTGTGTGTGTAATTTATAATAGGCTTTCAGGTGAATGGCAGTTGAGTTGCTTGACTGTACTTCCCAATGTCCCTACCCAGACACAATACATATTGATTGGGGAAGGAGCAGTGGATAGGAGCAGTATTTGTTTCCAATCAACTTGATCGACTTTAAGATATGTGGACTTCCCAGTTCCCAGAATTCCCCAGACATCTTAANAATATTTCCTAAAACATTTCATTCTTCCAGGAGCTGAAGGGTGTTAATTTTCTACAAATGCAAGCAAAATTATTGATTTTTCTCCTCTGGCTTTGTTGCCATCCCTCTCAAGCCACCACCCAGCCAGGAAAGAAATCCATCAAAAACATGTACTGCAGTGGAAATAGGAGATTCTGATTTCAAGATTGTCTGCTTCTTGTACTACGATGCGTTTGTTCCTGATCCTTTTCCAAGTAAAAATACTAAGAAAGAAAGAAACAGATGGGAAGGAACCAGCCCAAAACAAGACCCAGAGAAAAGGGATGCAGAGCCTGCAATTAGCTTGGTTCTGTAGAGTCAAAAAAACTGAAAATGCTGAGCATCCGGCAAATATTCATTTGCTTCATCATGAGGGAGGCAGGAGTGATTAAAATTGACAAATAGGGGAAAACATAGAATATGAGTAATAAAACCTCAGTTCAACATCCTCTTTATTTTGGGGAGGGGACACTGTAATGAGAAATGGGGAAATGGCATAGCTGGTGCTACTTAAGAAAACTGTTAAAGTGAATAAATGCAAACATACTTCCTGTTCTTCCAGAAGTGAAATAGCCGAGATCTGCTTTGGTCTGCTCTGTTCTGTTCTGAAACCTGGAAAATTGCTATAGTAGTGACGTAGTGACCAGTGGGAGGATGGGGCCTTCCATTCCCCCTAAGCACACCTGTGATTATAC